CAATGAAGAAAGGAAGCTGGACATTTTTTGACGCAGCAGTGAACACGTGATCTTTCTGCTGCTCGGGCATGGCGTATCTAAAATGTATGGTCAGCAGGCTTTTGCTCATGCGGAGAAGTAGCCACGAAGGTTCCGGAATGAGCTGGCTGTTTGACATAAACGAGTTGAACTTATTGAACTAGAAGAACTAGTGTGCTGGTTGTCATGAAAATGTATTCCGCCTTGTGCGCATGACTTGTTCAGGACTGCTATGCCATGAACAAAAACTAAGGGATATTGACACCGATCGGGGAGTTCGCCACATTTGAAGGCGGTACCAGATCAAACGTGTGGCGACCGTAATGAAAATGGCAAATATGGCGGTGGCGACCAAGAGGTGGCTGGAGCATTGGTGCTGTGCTACTACGGCCCATCGGTCGATAGCCTATCGGCAGCCAAAAATGATCAGTTTTACCTTTGCTGATGTGTTCGTCCAAAAATGTAAGTCGCACAACTTCCCTGCTCTTTTACTTTGGGTAAATCGCATATGGGACTTTGGTGTACGTTGCATTGCGATCCAAAAACAGCTTGGTTATAATTTCTCGGCAGTCAGAGATGAACAGTTTTAACGTTTGACTGGCGGATCGCCACGCTTATGACATTCATTCTCCATTCTTGTCTGGCATAGGTCAATCGAGTGCGGTTCATCGAATGATGTGCTTTTCTGCATTCGTGACCCGCAAATACGTTTAATAGCGCGTGATTGCGTGACAAAAGCGCGCTGCTGTCTGCACACAGCATACACTGGCCAGTACGTTTGTCTGCTTTCTCCCTCATAAACATATGTGTAGGGTTTCACATTTGGAGACATTGATGCAAACGTCCGATGTGATGAAACAAACTCACCCATAACTATCGGTGTACTTTTAAAGGGAAAAGACTGTTACAGACACCGCAATTTCTCTGTTCAGTATATATGCTGCCGGCTACGTCATGGTTTGATTACGTCACCGCACCTTGCACAACATTGATTCAGAGCCAATCGACAGCCTTTTTATGTGGGAGTTGTGCTCGCGAACGCTAAATGTTAGCCACTCGACCATTATATTTGTATTGGCCCTAATCGCGGCCTAGCGTGTGAATTGACGTGATTAGAATGACGTAATTTTGACGTCACGAATACCAAGACGAACTTGAAATGCTCCCCCAGAAATACCCTTCGCATTTTCGCAGGCGTAGAGCTTAGCAACTAGAGGGCTTTACGTCTTGAGAACGGCAGGGCTGTAAACTGCAAAGAAAGGTCGTCAAGACGGGTATTTCATTTCAAAGCCCCATATAAATGTGGAACACTCCCTTTAAGTCTCGTGTCACAACGACGTCAAGTCGGTTGAGACCGAGACCCGGTTTGAACCCGTGCTTTTAAGCCTTTTCACCGGTTAAATGCTTACGTAATTTGTTGAATGCGTTCGCGAGGAGCATTATGCGTATAGATGATACAGTATTAATAGCTAAGACAATTGGGCTTAATGGACTGACGTCCAAGGGATCTGTTTCAAATGGGTTCACAAATATTATCGCCAGGGAATAAGCGCATGGGTTCCCCATTGCTATGCTCAATTGCTGTCGATGGCAGTCATCTCCGAACGGGAAAGCATTACTCTGGAGACACTGTTCTGTACATATCTCCTTTTTGATAAACTGAGAAGCATCATTTTCATGGAAATGTTCGTCTTCCTTAAAGCTCAAGGCAGCAGTAGCCTCATTAACGAGTGTATTGCGATATCAATTGACAACATCTACACTGAAGAGAACATTGCCCTCTGGTAACTGTTCTGCCTGCGAATGATTGGAGGCCTTTTTTACAAAGTCCCTAGTGTCCCACAGAAGAGTGCGAACAAACCCGAGGAAATGGTTGAGTAATTTCTCTAAAAGCCATCAACTTTTATGAAGGACCAACGCACACAGATATCATGGTGTAAGGGCACTGCAGGCTTGCGATCCTGAGGCAGCCAGTAAAACAGAGGCATTCTACTGCGTCTAGGTACGCTAACTACGCTCTTCAGCGTCGTTTTTTTTTTTGCCTCTACATGGGAGACTGGGCTTCTATTCAGTTTGTCGTAGTTGTCTCCATCGTTAAGTATAGCCTGAGTGTTGTTCACATGAGTTAACTTGTCAAGGTTACGTCATCGTGCATATCATAAGATAGCACTTGAGATATCAAGCACTTACACTTATCGCTCTATTCAACTATGATATCATTTTTGCTAAGTTCTCTTATGAAGTTCTACTGATCTGCGGTGACATTTTGTCTTCCTGGTTTATGGCCTTTGACCTTGCGCAGTACATCATCCTTTTAGTTCTGTAGACTAACTTCTGTATCGCTGCTAGAAGATTCAGGACAGTTTTACCGATATCTGAAAGTCTACGACAGATTCCGGATGCGTCCTCGGTACTGCCGATCTTCGGTGCCATATTCCGCGCCTGCCCAACGAGACTGCGAGCTGCGTTCGCCGGCGTCGATGGCACTGCTGCGCCGTCTGTTGAACCTGGACGGCCCTGTCCCGGTACAGTCGCAGTATGAGTTGTGTTGCTGCCATCTCGCCATTTTGAGAGGGAGCCTTTCTACCGTTTGCCATAAGCAAAATGCTCATCTCCTAACTGTACTCGAAGTAACATGTCATTAGATGCCGACTGCGTCTGTGCAAAGTTCGGATCGTTGGCTACAAGACTAAATTTTGCGGTATTAACGTATAAGATCGATGGATCATTCACTCCCTGTTGACGTATTTAACCGACAACCAGTTATCCATAGCAATGGCTCACCTGGCCCTGGACCTGAAGCTGTGTCAACTTGTTAACCAGTCTTGGTCAATTTTTGCAAAAAGTGGTGTCAAAATTTCGTACATGCGTTCCAAGTACCGCCCTTTATTATAAAGGTTGATGCAGACCACGAGCCTCTATTAAAGGGAATGTTTCACATTTGAAGATATTGAAGCAAGCATTTGATATGATGAAGCAGGCTCGCCTATGACTAATGGCATACTTTTGAAGTAGAAAAGACTGTTCTAGACACCACAATTTTTTGGTTGAGTTAAGATGTTCCTTGGTACGTCATTGTTTGATTACGTCATCGTACATTGCACGATATTGTTTGCGAGGCAGTAGACGGCCGTTTTATCTGGAAATTGTGTTCACGAACGTCAAATATAAACGGCTCGGTCATTACATTTTTCTCGACTGTGATAGCCGCATGGCGTATTAAATGGCAGGATTTGAATTAAGTTATTATGACGTCATAAATGTCAAGGTAACTGAAATGCTCTTACCGATATACCTTTCCCCATTTCCGCAGGCATGTACTTCAAAAATTAGAGGGGCTCTTAAGAAGGGCGGTGTTGTTGAGGTCTGCAAGCTGGTTATTTCAGTTCACAACCCGTATAGATGTGGAACAGTTCCCCTTCATAGCTCAGACGGTTGCGTTGTTAACATGGGCTCGTTATTCGTGGTATGGCCAGTGTGTGTGCGCGACTGCCGGCATGATCGGCAACCACGGTATTGGTGTTCACGTCGTGTGAGGCGGCCATGTGCCGGGGAAATTACCCCATAGTATGTATTTTAACGGGGGGAGTTTTAAAGGGATTTTCTTAATCTTCACGGCAGTTATTGGTAGTGGTTGGATAGTCACTGGTACCAAACTTACCTCATCTGGTTTCGCCTTTGGCTCTTCTTTTGCTGTTTGAAACATCTGCAGCGATTTTCCTCGTGTGCCATGTCCCAGAAGGCCTGAACTCACAGCGAAGCGTTCTTTAGTTTGTATGTATGTATGTATGTATGCATGTATACATTGTGTGAGCATGATGTATGCATGCATATTTGTATGTTTGTATGTTTGCTGATATGTACATACATGCATTGTACGTTGTAAACCACATGAAATTGATCGTTTGTTGGTGCCTTGTTGCGCAGGTCCAGAGGAAATTGGTACTGTCGTTTGGTCCTGTCGTAGCCGTCTGTTCGGGGCTTTATATGGTATTCTTGTGGTTTCGTTGTCTTGATACAAATTATTGCCAAACATTATCTATTTCTCGGCATTTTGATCCATTCAATGATCATTTTCCACACCAAACATTACACATTGAGCATACAGCACACACAGCATGTTAAAATCCGGTTCTCTGAGAATTTCACAGATATTCGAAACGAATCAAACCTTGATAATCTGTGTACGATTTCATGTTTTAGATGAAAAGGCTGTTTTGGAATTGATCATCAAATTGATCATATGCATATATTTATATGGTCTCTTTTGGCTTAAGTTCAACTTTCTTTGTGTTTTGTTAGCTTGTTGATGTGGCTTTAATTCTTGAAACAATATGTCATTGACGTGGCCTGGTGTATAACATTTTTTACCTAGGTTTTTGCAAATATTTGTGCACGACTCTGGGGGCCGAGTTCTGAGATAGTCGTAAAAACCTAGGGAACAATAAAAATACACGCCACTCCGTTGTCATTAAATTATTTTGTGTCCTTTTCGTGCGGAAACAATGTTTCTTTTACTGCGCATTGTGTTGCACGCATTGCGCACATCTGCAAATGTTTCCCTGTCCCTCTCAGCCAAACGTCGCGACTCCTATTTCTCGAGGCCATCCCCATTCAAGAGCTCACTTTACCGTGCAGGCGAATGTCCTTTAACTTCGTTTTGTTTTTCTTGGTAGAGAAAAAGTCTTGTTTTTGTTCGTTTTGTTTTTCTTGAGCGGTGGCCATGCCGAATGGATGGATATCTATACGTCTAGCTGGAAATGAATGATTTACCGGCTCGCGTGCATGAGCTGTAAAGGTAGGTGAATCATGCAGCCCATTTGGGAACACTAGTTTTGGGAAAACAAAATATATGCCTGGAAAGACGGGCATGCGATGTATCGTCGTTGGCATTGAGTCGGCTTTCAGTTATCCTATTTGGGCTTCATATGCCATTGCAGCGATGTTCGGTCGCTGGACATGGTCCTTCTACCGTCTTGAAGTCTGATTCGGAGGTTGTTTAATGATAGCAGTTCGAGACACAAGGCGACAACGGTGACAGTTGGCGGTGCTGCTGCAAGCAAGCGTCGAACGCGCCACGTCCAGCCTCTGACGTGGTGCTCTGCTGGGGGAGAGTGGCACGCTCCCGAGCCGCGGGGCCGCCTCAGCCGCGGGACGCCCAGAACGGGTCCCGCTTAATTTTCAGCAGCTGCAGCGTCGATCTCTTGTCGGTGTCGTACGCCAGGTAGGCGCCGGCCCGCCGACCACGGGACGCCCAGAAGTCGCTGCTGGCGCCGCTTTTCTTGCCACGCGACGCCCAGAAGTCGCTGCCGTTGCGGTTCTCCTTCTTTCCGCGCGAGGCCCAGAACTCCTTCTTCAACCGCTCGGACGCCCAGAACTGGTCGTCGCGGCACTCGGACGCCCAGAAGGCATCGCCGGCGCTGACGTTGCCGGCGCTCGGCCGACGTTTGTGGCGCAGGCCCAGGAAGCGGCGCATCGTGCCGAAGGTCATCCAGCCGGGCCGCGCGCTGACGTCCCAGTACTTGTGCACGTAGGGGAGGGCGCGGAGCCGCTTCCCGCGCGCCGCCCAGAAGACCAGGTCGCTGCGCGGCGCCGGCACGCCCTGCAGCCGCTTGGGGTGACCTGCGCGCTGCTCGGCGCCGCCGGCGGGGCGCGGCGCTGGCGCCGGCGCCAGGGCGGCGCCGGCCGGTCCCGGGAGCTTTACCTGCGGTCAGATCACAGGACGGTCAGGTGCGCGGCGAAACTGCTCAGGCCAGGGCAAGGTCCCGGCCCTCCAGCAGCCAACATCGCTGGCAATACCGTGCATTATATTTAGCCGCATCAAGCCAACATTGGCTCCGCAATCCGACAGGAAATGCATGTAGCGTTCAGTTTGTTTCTAAGTAAGAAAATCATGCAAGGCCGGCTACGTGTCAGCTCATTCAATGTGAATATCCAAACATCCGGCCGAAACTACGACACCAGCACCGGCACGTCATGCACGCGTCGGGCCGGCCTGAAGCTCAGGCGGAATGAGTTCCTGCGTGCATATCCACCTCGCTAGCCGCTACCGATTCATGGCAGCGATTGAACGTGATCACAAGTTTCAAACTGGAAATGGACCACTTTCGGCGGGCGCGATTTGAGTCATTCCCTGTCCCTCAGGATGCCAGGCAACTTAGCCACGTCCAAAAGTTACCTGTGACCAGTATTCGACGTCCGTAATGCCGCCCGGAAGCCCTGAAATGGGCTTATAATGAGTCGTCGAAATGTTTGGAAACTATCCTGCTCGCAGTCTACCGTAAGGGGTGGAAGGACGGGTTTCCGGTGGGAGAAGCGCCGAATCTGGGCAAATGCATTAACCGCGGATGCGGTTTGAATACAAATGACCGACGGCACCGCGTTGGTCGTAAACAGCCGTGCGCTTAGCGATGACCATTGCTAGTTGGAAACAACCACGGGGCTTACAGAGTCTTTATGCTGCATATTTTCATATATGTGGGGGATGAGGCAGAACGAGTGCACCAGGTTGAACCAAAGGCGTTCCATGGCTCTCATCGTTGGCTGAACGCTGACAGTCAAGATCGACTGGATTTGTCAGGAGATGCATCTGCGACAATGTTGTCTTCATTAACGGCGGGAGGATGCGCCTGTTACTGCCGCTGACACTGCCATGCCGCCAGGGCTGGCGGCCAGACCGCGGTCCGCGCCGTGCTCCGCGGGCGGTCCTTAGCCTGTGACCGGTCCCCTCGTCCGGTTCAGATCCACGGACACCGATGCTGCTCCCGGCCCGGCCCGGCCCGGTCCGGCTATTGACCAGTCACGGCTGGAGGCGCCGCGGCGGCAGAGTTCTAAGCAATGCCGATGTGGCGATAGGAGTTCTGTAACATTAAGTGCTTTCGCGCTGTTGTAATGGTGCCGAATTATTTTCGCACGAAAGGAGTGCTCCGTCTTCTAAATATCCCTAGGAACATGAATGGTGGTTCAATAGCGCGCCTGCTAAACCCTTCCCAGGCTTGCTCTCGATCTGCGTCAGCTGCTGGTCTTGGTTTCTTTTCACGCAGCTCAGGCAGAATTCGCAAACTTCGGATGGTGACGCGTGCGCTTATCATGCCGAGTCTTGTTCAGGATGTGTTGACTATTGGCCAAACGCTCTTGGAAACAAATGAATCAATGACATCAGTCCAAAAAAGAGGCCACTCTCACTATAGTTATGGCGCTTTCCTTCGCCCTCACATGTAAACAAACGGGCACAATTACCGTTGTTGCCCGCGGCGCTGCCCCAGGCCACCATACATTTATCTTAAGGTGCTTAAGTCCAGTTAAGAGTTAAAGTCCAGCTAAGTCCTGTTGCCCGCTACTAACCAAAAGCGCGTCGGCGTTAACCGATCGCAATGGTCAAGGCCCCAGCGGAACAACAACGTGAGAATGATATGATGGGAACAAATTGAGGATGACATGACTAATATTCTCATACCTGTATAACGAAGCGAAAAATGTCTCGATCAGCGGGCAGCATGGGCCGAATGTTAACCCTGATCACGTCACTGAAGCTCTGTGAGATGACCTAAAGGACGGGTGCCGTCCTCGTTGCTGCGGTGTCCTCACCCTCGCATCGGGCAACGGTTTTCGTCTGGGCCGTGACATCGGGCTAGAGTGACTTTACCTGCGGTGAACAATATACCACTGTTGGCCGCCGATCGTTGTACCTCTCATCTCATGTGTACGGAGTGTAAGTCGCTAGGCAGGTCCCGCGGCGTTGACCTGTTTTTTCTAGATGTAGCATAACCTGTGGGGCTCATGTGTCACGACACGTTTTAGATGAATGAATTCTATCAAAATGGCTCGTAGATTTTACAACAGAAGTAGTTTTGTTTCGTCATCATGTACCGGTCTGTCATTTTGCATTTGCGTATTTGGTCTCATGGAACCCACCCATAAGCTACCGCAAACGTGAAATGTCGATGGTATATGTTCATGAAACCAAAAACGCCTCTTAATTAAAAGGAAATTGTTACTCTTATAGCCCTGGCCCCACACCATGAGCTATGTCCATACTTGCTTTCTATTTTTACGCATTTCAGATTTGGGGATAAATAAGGGCTAGCTGACATAGAATAAAAAAATTGCAACATATTCCCGGCATCAATTAGCTGGCTGCATATTTCGTTTCACATCGAGCGATCGGATCCCCGTATCATTCAGTCCGGGAGAACACGATAACGGCCTTCGTCCGCATGACATTTGTCGGTGGATGATCAAACGTGGTATTCGTCGCTTTTGTCATAGGGATGATCATTTTCAAGAAAGCCAACACATGGATCCAAAGCGGCGGCATCCAAAATAAAACGACATAGACATTTAAGAAATTTAAATAATGCTCCAGCCACCCTTGCCACGCAACCTGTTATGACTATGCGATTGAAAGAGCCAAACAGATATCGGTAACCGGTTTCATAAAGAGAGAAGGACATACAATTTTGACATAGGAAATAACTTTCTGAGGTTTTTCTGAGTCCGAGCGCATAAAAGAAAAATTTGTACCCTTACGCCTGCAGAATTATGATTTTTGCGAGGAAATCTGAAAAAACGAGCTGGTCCGCACTACGGCCAGCATCCATCGCGTTTTTTTAAAGTACGGCTGGTGTAACCATCGAATAGAAATTCACGTCAAAACTTAGGTAAAATAAAAAGATGCTCCGCCTCGTAAAATCTGCGGTGGCGGTCGGAGCGGGGAGTGGAATATTGAGACCATAGACCGAGAATCGGGCTGCAGTGGGTAACTGTCGGGCTATGAAACGATATCAACATAACTAGGGCGGACTTGGTATATGCACGCAGGACGGACGCTGAACGTATTTGCGATATGGTCAATGTAACTGCAGTTCGTACTGCAAATTTGTAGGCTTCGCAAACATATTGCGGAGGATAAAGCTGACAAGCCGGTATAAAAGCATGTCCCTCTTCCACATTTCGTGGATTTCGCGGGATTTTTATTTACTACCTGTTTTTGCATGACACGGACAGACATGATGTCGGTTCACAAAAGGCACAACTTAGGATGATGATTAAGTCAATTGCTTTAATGTACTTTTCAGTGAAGTTTTTCGTTCAGTTGTCTGTTGCATACATGCGTAGCCCAGGAAAGTTAGGTTTATGAACACTCGAACCAGTTTTGTTTCCTGCAGCGGGTAGCGGAGCGATGTCAAAAAGCATAGTATGCATGCATTTTAGCGAAATAAAAGTAATTGTCGTTTATGCTTGAGTCAATCGCTCACACAAGTCACACATTTATTGCTGAGTCGACTCATAAATGACGACACCCGTCACTGGAACGATATTTTTGCATTAATTGTAGGTGACCAAACCTGGGTCCAAAGCGACGCCATTGCTGTCATGGCAACGAATGCATGCATCACCTCTGTAATTACTTCAGCCCCTGCTTCAGCCTCGTCATTTTTCGCTTTACTTCGGAGGAATGCTGCCGGGTTTATGAAACCGGCGTAGTAAATAGGGAGTGGTGAGTTACGCCGAAGTTACTTTGCCGAGCCAGAAGTAAACAGTAAGTTCTCTTTATGAAACTGTTGACAGGTCGCTGCCGGAAAAATGCATTATCACTCACCAGCATCAATGCGTCACGTCGACGTGCGTGCTTGGATACCAATAACCAATGTAATCGCTTGCAGTCGAAAACTGCAATTGAGAAGCAAAAATATCCACGAAACATTTCGAATGACACGTGCTGGTATCTGAATATGGCCCAAAACCGTCGTAAGGTGCAGCGACGAAAGCTAAATCAAGGTGCCGGGTAAGACAATGACCCATTCTGATGCATAAGCGGGGGTGCCGGTAGTGTAGTGGTTAACGCGTCTGCGATAGCCACTGCACGTCTGGGAAACCAGAGGTACGGGGTTCGATTCCCCGCGGTGCCCGCCTTCCTGCCAGGGTGAGAGGCAGGCGACGCCATATAGTATCAGCGGCTGAGTGCGTCGTAAAGCCCCAATGACACATGACACAGGATGCATAAGCTCTCTCCTTAAGGTAGATTCGTTGGAGTATGGTATGTTACACCCGCGGCACCAGCCTCAAATGCCCTGAGGGACGGTGGATGGTTTGGAGTGGTGAAGGGAAGGTCATGATCGTGCGGCCGCTGTCCATCGCTTGCACATACTATTAACGCGCAGTTCAGAAATACGTAACGCGCAGTTCTAACTATACCTAACTATACGTAACGCGCAGTTCAGAAATTTACATTTGATATGTTTGAACCCGGAGGGAATTTCGTTTTGGCAGATAATAAAAAACTGTTTTTGATCCGGCACACGACAGATCCTCTCAAGCGTGACGGCTTAATATTCGAGACCTCACGCACCCCCAACTTCAGCTCTCGGGGGCCCATCAGCTGACTGGCGGCGGGCCCTGGAAACGCCACGCTGAGCACGTGCCAGAGCTGCGCGTGGCTCCTCCGCGCCAGTGTACCCGATTGGTGGCTGACAGCGGCGGGTGGGATCTGTGTCCGCAGCCGCTGATCGCCTGGTCCGCACAGTCCGCCGCCGCTGCGTCGAGCGGAATCCGCCAGCTGTGGTCGGCAGCGGAGCGGGCGCCGCCACGTACCAGGCCGCTGTCGGCGAGGTGGGCCGCCGAGCAGACGCGCAGCAGCAGCAGCTGGAGAGTCAGTGCTGCCAGCATTTGCATGCCCGTCCGGTGACCTGCAACCGGTGGTGAGAATCAGCGGGGGGGGGGGGCTCGTGTGTGACGCCGGCGTTCTCCGGTCTGGCCAATCATTGGCCGCTCAAGGCGTGGGCATGGTCGCTCAAGGGGCTTGTGCTTGTCTGGGATGGGGTAAACTCTAAAAGGGTTAAAAACCTACTCAAAACCTACTCAACCTCTAAAAACCTACTCAAAAAGGGTTAGATAAGATTAAATAGGGTTAAATAGCCGGCGACTACAGAGCTGTGATCGATGTTGAGGTTTTGGGATGTGGTTGCGATGGTAAGGACATTGTTCAGCGATTGTTGGCCGACCTTGCGACTGTCTCTGCTCGCGTGCATTCGTCCAGCAGCGTTGCAAACGCAACGTTATTGACTACAGAACCATGTGCAGGTCCCAATGCCCATGGCATACGCAGATCGCCAGCGATTGCTTAATCGGACAGAATGCGGCTCGAGCCAAATTTTGAGACGATTTCAGAGGTAGATCTGATAATGGGAATTATCCCTCGCACACCGAGGCGGCTTTGCAGCAGCAGTGGATACTTGCCGGCTAAGCTCAAGCTTGTGGAACCGGTCCAGATAAATATCCAACTGAATTAAAATGACTTCCTTACAATAATTATATTCGTGATAGTCGTGAAGTAAGATGGATTTTGAATGATGATTGAATGTCCCGATGGCTCAGTTGTTCAGAGATCCAGCCATATGTGGCGACGTAGGTTCGAGTCACTGTAGATGATCCCTTTAGCCGTTGGCAAGTGTGGCCTACGGACGGTGGCAGCGACCGCGCTGAAGATCAAGTGACAGCAGGGAGCAGGACGGACCGAGCCGGACATC